ATGGGGTGAAAAAGAAGTTATAGGATAACTTTTTATGTAAGTATAGATTCTACTCTACACTCTAGTTAGCTAATGAGGAGAAGAGAGAGAATTGTTATTACTATTTTCAAACTTTTTAATTATTTAATTAATTCATATTAAAATTTATATTTGGTAAGTAAATAATATTGTAAATAGACAACATTGTGCATTGAAGATGATTTTTTAATAGTTGTGAACTCAACATTTGTCATACATGATTCATAACCTATTTAATTTTTTAACATTTGTCAAAAAAATTTCTATAACAATATTAGAGCATCGGGAGATGCTCTTGTGAAAATTGATAGACAGTATGTGGACATTTTTTCCCCATAAAATGAAAAGAGAAAAAGATATAAACATCCTTTTGAAGATCAAAAAAATCCGTCTCACGAACTTCATCGCCAATGGCTCTGCTTTCTTCTTCAGTCTCAGGCAAAATCACTTCACTCTGTATTTCCTCTCCATCTCTCTTCCTCGCGAGAACTCATGCCAAACGGTCGCCGTTCCTCGCCTCCTTGAACGCTTCTTCATCTCCAGAATCGACGTCGGCCCCAAAAGCCGAAACTTTCAGCGTCTCCGCCAAAGGATCGTCTCAAAACGCGGCCTTCGCTGCGAACTCGAATGCCCCTGAGCTTCCGTACTCTTCTGATTTGTCAAATCCAAACGGAAACCCCTTCGTGCGGTTCGTACAGTCTACCGAGTCCACCATCGAGAGAGTAAGCCAAATTCCGAGCTATTGATCTTTTGTCAATGATTAGGGATTCATGTGTTATGAGTCCGTTTGTAGTTGATTTTTTTCAACAAGAAATTGGAATTTTGGGGTTTGAGTAAAGTATTAGGGGTTTGTCTGTTTGGAAGTGATGAATAAATTGAATACTTAATTATTAATTTTTAAGACCTTTTGAAATCTCAAATGCATACTTCAAAATCAGTTTTTCTGGGTTCTAATGACTAGGTCCATGGTGCGAAATCGTACTGCAAATTCCTTGTACGTGGAGACTTACGTTGTTTTTTTCTCCTGCATCTCCTAACTAGTTTATGTTTGAACTACATGATCATATAATATAGATTGATGCTTGAGTAAGCACATCAAAGCCTTTGTAAAAATCATGCCAAGGATCCTACAAAATGAACAAAAGAAGAAAAAGGAATTTACATCAGCAATGCATGGATGAAGTTTGTCTAGTGGAGTTACTCCCCAACCTCGATTTTAGTTTCTGTAATATGTAGAGACAATAAAGGTGTAGTGGTTAATATTACATTTCTATTTACTAAAGTTGGAGTCCTGGAAAGGTCTTGTAAACTGATCACACAGAAGATCGAACGTTGAGTGCATCAACCTTGGAAGCAAAATATCTGAGCTAGGGGATATATTTATCATTTATGCTTGAAAAACATGTTTTGAGGTCTGATCTACTTGGTAATCCCTGTATAAGTGAAGGACTACAGGCTTACTTTTACGATTGCTGAGTTACTTTATCTAGTTTATTGATTTCTTGATCTTGTTAAAGAATTTGTGGATTTTCTCTATTGATGCAGGTCATATTTGATTTTCGTTTTTTGGCACTTCTGGCAATTGGGGGTTCATTAGCTGGTTCTTTGTTGTGCTTCCTTAATGTAAATTCTCTTTCCTAGAATTCAAACATCCTTTACCTCACTCTCTTTTTATTGTGCATATTTAGTGTGCCCTTCACTTTTATCATCGGTATAACACTTTCAGAATCAATATACAATATCAGAAAATTAGTTGACCTAAACCAGCATGATGCAGTTGTTAATTAAAAGTGCGACTGTTGTAATCTCATTTGCACGAATTCTTTTCTTAATTGTCAATTGGAATGACATAAAAGTCTGTGTAGGGATGTGTATACATATTTGATGCATATAAAGTATATTGGTCAAGCTGTGTCAAAGGAATTCATACAGGGAAGATGGTTCTTCGACTGGTTGAAGCTATTGGTGAGTTTCTTTATGTAATTGGATTTGGCCATGTTCAGCCTCATGTATATTCTTGGTTGATCTCATCTGTGATCCTTATCCTTAAGCAATCACATATTTAGTATTTATATATATAACCGTGTTGCGTTGTTATTTGTTTGCCATCTTTTTTTTTTTTTT